AGCAGCAGCAGTGGAAGCAATTTCTACAGACTTACCCGAAACCCTTCTAATTTCTCCCTTTTTTTGTTGTTTAATTATTTTTAATTTCCATTTGTTGAAGTATTTTTGGCATCCAACATAGCAATTTTCTATAATACTATATTTTCCTATGCAGTATGAAGTTTTTTTTTCCCTGGGAATTGAATTACAAAAACCATATAAAAAGGATCTGTGCATAGTTTTTTCTTAATTAAAAAAAAGGTTGCTTTCTTAGGCAACACTTTAGTGGTTGTGGAATACTACTATTACTATATCAAAACATAACAAGTCACTCCCCAGTAAACACAGACTTAGAGCTAAAACAAGAGATCAAATAGATCCCACGTGTCTGCATTCCTGTTCTAGAACAGGATTTCTCTCCCAAGAGTGACTTCAGAGGAGAGAATCCTAAAAAAAGATTGGTCACAAAAATAAATTATTATGTAGGTTTGCCCAAGTTAAGTCAAACATCTCAATTCTTGTCCACCAAAATTAGGAACAAAATTGAAAATCAGGATTTTAGTACATGAGATTTTATAGTATAAAGGATTTTATATATGAGAACATTGTCTAAGAAAAGTTTCATTTTTAAATGTCGGGTGAGCCAAACTTGCAGTTCATGTGTTAATATAAATATGAGCCAGAAATTTGTCTTATTGTCACAGAACCAGGATGACATTGCTGCCTCAGTTTCTCATTTCGTAGAGACAAGACTGCTATCGTTGCTGTTGCCTGCCCAGAAATGGGATGGTTTAGGACAATAAGTTTATCTTAACTCATTAGAACTGGCATAGAGACACAGCTCTCAAATGGAGCCACTTCTGGGACGTGAAGCCACCAAGGTTTTATGAGACACAAGAGAAAATAAAGTCTCATCTGGCATGCTGTTGAATATTGAAGGTAGACACTGAGGAAGTAATGCTGCAAAAGATTCCTCTGTGACACCACAGTGCAGTGCATTTGCTCCAGAGATAAAAAAGGTCCAGCAATTTCATCACTGAAAACTGATCAGGTGAGATGAAACAGGGACGTGTGTCACACCAGTGCATGAAACCCAAGACATCCCCTCCTGTTCACCCCCATTTACCCACTGCTTTGGGACAGAATGCAAACTGATACTAACATGGACATTTGACAGGATTTTACCCACAGAATGCAAGACAGCTCCTGTAGACTGGAGAGCATCCTGCTTCCAATATGGTTAAATAACAGAGAGCAGAGTATGCATTATGTTATATATATAACAAGCCAGCACAAAGTCTGCAATTTTTTTACTCCAATGCTATAATTGTAATTCAATAGAAACAAAATCACAGTTTTCAGTGACTAAAACAATTGTCAGAACACATATAATTAAAGGCTTAACTCTTCACGAAGTTCTCTTTTTTGAGGTCAAGAAACTGGCAGGTAATGTGCATTTCAGAAGGCAGGCAGTAACAGTCATGGTGGAACCACTTCTTCCACAGATGCCAAATACCATTCAAGCGAGCTGCAAATTGGATGAAATAGTGTAAAGAGACTGGTGTATTGCAGGCACTGGCACATGTACTTCTGTAACTCTGGTACTCCTCCAGCTTCAGACAAACACTAGAATTCAAAGATATATTCAAGATTAAATGTCATGTGTCAGAAAGCATTTTATGTTTTTCATTAATAAGTTGGTTAAAAATATCTGAGGGCTTCTATTAGGACACCTGGACAGCAGGTGAATTTGAAGTCAGCCATTTGCCAGGAGCAATATACATTCCTATGTTTCTGATTTCTGACCATATAGCCAAGGCAAAATATTGAAGTAAAATAGAAATTTCCTGCAGAATAATAATTCTTTAATTGAAAGGTTGTGTTAACTTTGATTCTGGTGGAAATTTGATCTTCAGCTGGCTTTCTAAAACATTTGCTAAGACCCAACACAAGTTATTGTTCTCAAGAATATCTCACAAAGAAAATGACAATAAATTAGATTTAGTATCTGGAACGTTCAGTTCTTTCAAGAAAATGGTTTGTCTATTAAAAAAAAAGTTTTATGAACATTTTAATGAGGCTCACACTCTGGCCTGAAACAGCTTATGAAAACTCACTGAAGTGCCATGTGCCAAATAAGACTGGGAAATAATTTTGTGTGGGTAAATAAAGCACTGAAGTAAACTGGGGAAGGATAACATCTCTTCTCTTACAGAAGAAACAGTCTCTTCCTTATGGCCAGAATCTACAGTAAATGTAAATCTACATTTACACCATAATAAATGGGCAACTATTGACTAAGTGCTCTAGAAAAACCTAAATGGGCAAAAATAGCTTCAGTATAGTCAGCTCTATTTTTAAAGAACTACCAAACGTTATATTAAGCAGTCCCAAATCACCTCAGGGCAGCATGGCATGCCTGCCTTTACTGTGTGCTCCCAAAGGTGAGGGCTGTGGGTTTCTGTGCCAAGCAGAGGCAGTCTGCAGTGCATGGCAAGCAAAGATACACAAAGGGGAAGGAAGGTCTGATCTGACACTGAGGAGCTGCCACTGGGATGGCTCTTCTGGGCAGAGGAGAATCAGCACCCTGCCATTAAACCACGCAGACAAATGCTGAGCCTAAGTCTTGCAGCAGACTGGTGGCCTTGTGGTGCAAGGCATAGAAGTGTTGAAAACCTCTCAGTGGCACAAAGAGATTGATCAGACTTGTCTAAAGTCACATATTTATTCACCCACACTGGAAAACATTGTGAAAACTCTGTCACTTGATCCAAGGGCTCAGGATTCATTGCCACCCACCTCTTCACATATTTAGCACAGACACTTGGGGGAAAACAAAGATGTGAAGTATGTAAAAATGTATACAATATGTCACTACTAAAAAGGAAGAGGTGGTATGTTAAGGAACCACTACTGCATTTTGGCTAGGACTGATTGAATGATTTATTTCTTTTTCTGGGCCGATTTTCACCAACTGTCCAATTCCAACTTTGTCAGCAGATGTTGGGTTTGGCTACAACCACGTTATTGCTATTTCAAGTGGCAACACACCTGAGCTGGAAAACAAAGGTTGAATAAGCCAAACACTGAGTTCAAGAGAGAGCAGAACTCAGCTGGAATGCACTACTTGCTGCTCTGAACTCAGTGGATGACACCAACAACTCTGAACCACTGTTCAGACTGGGGACTTCTGATCGTGTAGAGAATGCTGAAAGGTTTTTATTCTCTATTTCACAGATCTAGATGTTCAACACATGGGCAGGAAATACCTTTGTTCTCCCTTTGTATGTTTTCTTGTAGTTTGGTAGTTCATGAACTCATTCACAGTTGTGAGACCATTCCCAAGCACTGTGGGAAGAGGTTTGCACAGTGGCACATGACCAAGCAGGAACCCTGTGCAACAGCAGCCCAGATCACAATGCTGCAGGTTTGGGACACTCAATATTTGCAGAAACAGCATTAGCAACTTGATATTTTGGTAAAGTGGTATTTTGAGAGAAGAAAGGAAAAGCCAAGGATACATAGAAAGTGGGCAGAAAATAAGAAAGCATTAATTTAGCTCCTTAGAAGCAGCACTGCCAGCTGGCCAGCTGACAGACTCACTGACCACAAGGAATCACGCTCTGCCCTCCTATGGTAAAATGGGAACTGTTTGCTCACTCAGGGTGGCTGAATAACTCATCCTGAGCTGGGCTGACAAAGCCCACACTGAGGATCCTCCCAAGGTTTTTGTGGGTGCGGGGGGTGTGTGTTTGAAAGTGGAGGGCAAATGGATTCTTTTATGCCACCACCTTAGGACTGTCACAACTTCTGCATCTAAAACAATATTTCTTTGATCAGCAACAAAACAATTGCTATGTCTGATAAATGTCTATGATACTTGTCCTGCAGCTGAAGGAGCTGTAAACCAGATCTAGTCACAAAGCAATCGTTCTTGCACTGTCCACTGCAAGTAATGTGTATTTACTCAGGGCACTGGAACAGGACACCATCCATGCTTTCTGCTGAAGAAAAGCCCATTTGTGCCTGTTATACTGGAAAGTTTATACAACATTAATTCTTAAAAACTGGTTGTGTTTCTTAGAGTCTTACAATTCTTTACTCTCAAATGAATGAGACAGCGTGTAGGGTATGCCACCTGATTTGGTCCCACCTAAACATCTTCAGAGATGCAAACTTGAATGGTGACTTAGCTGATGAAAGAAGAGAAGCCACTCATATTCAGGTCTGAAGACACTTCAAAGTGGTGTCCAAATCTCTGCTTTGCATTATTCACTACTGCGTCTACCTTCCTGGATCTTACTGGGGCACCACTGTGCTACAGTGGAAACTAATGCAGAAACAAGTGGTCCACTGTGTTACACAGGAGTGGAGACAGTTCTAGAAAGTTTCATTTGCCAGGCTATAATTATGCAACCCACCCATTTAAATTAAATATGAATCAATCACAGGATGCCATAAAAGTGTCTCAAAAAGAAACTGCTATTAAGGGTACAGAGAGGTGACACATCCAATAGTTCACAGTTACAATAAAATCAACACTCTTTATTACCCCACATGCACACTTCCCTGGCGCAGCACTCCTGACCATGAATCACCCTGTGTGACTATTGATGAAAATAGCATTTGCTTCCTTCTTGTCCAGCAACAGAGTGAAGCTCTTCACTAGCTGAGGTAAGGGCAATCTCTCCCCTTCAAGAAACTTTCAGAAGATTCTTTCCTGCAAACAGGACAGTGAAGTGTCTGTCCTACAGCTTTTAGCTGGAACTGGTTTTAGAGGAGTTTCAGTCTGCATGAACTGAGATAGCCAAGCTCAGTATCATCTACCCATGCAAGCTCCCCTGTATCTTACTTGTCAGACAGAGCAGAGCAAACACCATTGCATGTGGCAAAAGTAACATTTTCTCACACTGTGAAGTCCATCAGAAAGCAGAGAAAGTCCCTTTCTCAAATGCATTTAGATATCTAGAGATGCAAATCAGCATTAAGTGGTGACTGCCAAAGGACAGAACGTGCTCAACTGTTCCTGGTTTCACTTTCTTCAAAAAAATACTGTCATAAGTTTCAGGTGATGACAAATATCTGTGAGCAGTATCTCATCTGCCAATTCTTGGCACTAGAACTGGCCTCTTCCTTAGACTCTGCCAGTGGAAGTGTCTTTATCCACATGCTCCACCATTCCCTGGAAGAAGTGTGAGGCTGCACCACATGCAGCCAGCTGGGAAGACAGGGAGCCATTGGTGGCTCTTGGGAACAACATTCAGTGGACACTTTATGGTGCTTACCACCATGAAAGAGCATAAAAGATAAAGGCACAGAAATAAATTCTTAAAGCAGTTTTCTGCTCAAAAAAGCACCTGGTCATTTTGTGGATAAATATTTCCCTCACTTCTAGATAAAAATAAAAATGTGTTTTTCCAGTTCCATAAAGAAAATTCACATTAATAATAAAACTACTGAATATCCTAAACACAATACTATGCTATATGCCAGATCTTCTACACAGAATTCTATAATTCTACAACCTAACACCTTGCACCCATTATCATGAGGTGGGAAATCACTATGGCTGCAGAATTTTACCCTAATGTCCTCACAACACCTTGGCGAGGTAGATAGGTTCCATAACATCTTTAGAAGGGGAAATAAGCACAAAGAGGTGAACTGACTTGCACGGGGATACATGTCAAGTCTGGAAGCAAATCCCAGGTCACACCCACAGATCTTTCCACTGTAAGACACTACTTTACCTCCCACCCACCTCCATTGCCAGGGCTGAAGAAAAAGTATCCATGTACCACTGACAAAATACACCCAGCCCAACACCAATCATTCTGTAGACTACTTCTGCAACAGAAATGGCAAATTAGGTTACAAACTACTTTTCTCACAATACATGAATTCCAAAGTACACAGGACAACTCCCACTGCTGTCAGCCAAGATAAGTGCACAAGCACTAAAATCTGGGCCCCTACATTTTTCCCAGGTCATCAGTTAGAGCCTTCCTCATGTCTTGACTTCACTCAAAAATTCCAGAGTTAATTAATAAGGCACATCAGGGGCTAATTCAGGAACTTCTACAATAGATGTGAAGTCCCAAGGGCCACTGGTCATCTCCAGGCTGGCACTAGGAAAACACTAGTTAGCATGTGAAATCACACCTGTGACTGAGGGAAAGGCTCCCTGCCCTCTGCCACAGTGCAAGAAACACAGAGCCAACCTTAGTGCATTGTTGTCCAAGATATCAGCTGAATCATGACCATCATGGAATTACATTATCTCAACCCTCAATAAAGGTGTCTAAATGCAGTGAGATTTGGGAGTGAAAACAAGGCAAGAGAAAGTGTGTTGGATGTTGACTTAGAAGGATCTCACCACATGGTTGAGGCACAACTAAAACATAACACAGCATAACATCACGTACCCCTTCTTCACTAGACAAGTGACAACAGGGATTTGTGTGTACAGTTGCTGACTTATAAGGAACAGGTAAGGAATGTTCAGCCCCTGCCTCAGTGCAATATTCACTGCTAAGGATTTACAAGTACATACCAGTGATATAATAGTTCAAACCATTTGATACAACAGCCTCCCCTCTCTTTATTGAAAGTTTGATAAATCTAATCCTTGACCTTGATTGGAGGTACAATGGATCACTCAAACATACTTATGATTCTGACACAGAGGTTGTATAATTGCAAACACTTTTGGCTCCAGCACAACTGGAGTAAGATTGGGTTGGTTCAAACTTGAACTGATGTGTGACTGCTGGAAGGCAGCAAAACCCAACACTGGATCTGAAGTGGTGATGAGACTTTATACAGGACTTTAGGCAATAGGGAGTACTGAGGGTACTTTCCTTGTTCAACACACGAATTCTTCACAGCTCACTGTGACTTGTGCTGTTTGCCCAGGCTGGGAATATGTCCAGCTGAAACATAGGTCTTCCCCATGTGTTGATGGCCAGTGTGACACAGCAGACTCCAATGATGTTCATCACTATTCCAGCTTTAACCTGTGAGGAAAAAAATCCAAACCAAGAACAATAAACACACACCAGCACAGCAAGTCCAAACCAGCAACACCCAAACACCAGCACAGCAAACTGCAGCAAGACCTACTTGTACACAAGACAGTGAAATAAATCACAGAAATAGCCACTGTATCCACTGCCTTCTGCCCTTGATTAGGTGGAGACACCAGGGAACACACTGTGCAAAGTCTTTGAGCACTTTGCTATGTATATAACCAGTTGAGGAGCTTTAAAGCATGTGTAACATGTCATTCTTATTAGTTAGAGAACAGCTTATGTCCTCCTCAAGTACCCAGTTAGAAAACCAGTAATGTTTGTGTGTTCTGCCCAGAATCTGCCCTGTGTGGTCTGGCAGAAAATCAGAGGACCAGAGCCAAGGGCTACTGATTGCTACCTTCTGCTTTCAGCTCCAGCGGAGACAAGGCTTTAGACACTCGCCAAAGCCCCAGAACACTGCAGGGCATGCCTGGACTTTAACCCTTCAGGTTTCAGAGACTTATGACTTGTCAGTTTTTCATTTCACTTGGGCCAATCTGTATGTCTGCCAAAGCTCATGAGAGAAGTACTGTTACTTCAGAGATGCAAGTCTTTATCACAGTATTAATGCTGCAGAAGAGAGTGGCATGGAGTTGCAGTTGCAGCCCATAAGAGATTCCTGGTACTTTGGAAATACTCTGCAAAGAAAATTAAACTCTCACCATATTTCAGGAAGAAAGCAATGGAGAATTTCAGATAAAAAGAGAAGGCAATTATCTTACCATATCCAAAACATGGATGTGGCCATAAGAAAACACTATTGCATTTGGTGGTGTTGCAACAGGTAGCATGAAGGCAAATGAAGCACTGAGAGTACCAGGCAGCATAACATACAAAGGGTGGACCCTGATAGATTCAGCCTGCAATGAAATGGAGAGAACATCACTCTAGAGGTGTTTGAAAAGGAAAGCATAAAGGATCAATCTACCCCAGACCAATGAGATACAAAGACTTATTTTGTTTCTTTGTATTACATCACCAAAATAATTCACAAACATTTTATTCTGAAATCCACAAATGCTTAAAAATAACTTGCTGTTGTTTCCTGTCCAATGATACTTAAAACAAGGCTTGATTCTTTCATGTTCTTTGTTTAGCTCTATGGTATAATTTAGATTTCTGGTCAAATATATCCAACAATCTTTTCTTTGACCTTGGACCACCCTTTTCCCAGGAATGGGAATTATAATTACTAGGCATGTGGAGTGACACTCTTAGACTTTACATAAACTCTGTGGCACTCAAAACTTAAGTGCCAATTTAAGTCATTAATAGCTCAGTATCTTGATTGGGGTAACTTTGCTTTGAGGAAATATTCTAGAATAAAGTGTTTATCCTTTTCTAATTAAAGAACAAAGTAACCTATTTTTCTCTTTATGCCACAGTTTTGATTCTGCTCAGAAAAGGCAGCAAAACTTATCAGGTTTTCCTTCCATCCAGTTTTAGAATTGTTCTGGGTTCCTATGAGAAATTACACATTCCTAATAATCAGGCCTACCACCTGGATTTTGTTTTGGTTTGGGTTTTGTGTGTGTGTGTTTTTCCAGTTCCAAGTTGATGGTTCAAAATGACCAGAAGTAACTGATGTTTGCTGAACTGTATTGAAAAAGTGACTGTCACTTCACCCTCTCCAGGGCCAAGGCACACACCTTACAGAAGGCATGACCTGGCTTCCTTTTCAGTACACTGGAGCAACACCCAAGACAATAATTATAATATTGCTTTCCCACCCAGTTTAACTCTGATCCTCCAGCTGACAGGGTAACAGCACAGAAGCAGTCTTACCAAGGATGAAAAGACAGGCAGGAAGAGGGTAGCTGTGGCCACGTTACTGGTGCATTCAGTGAAGACAGCTGTAATAATGGAGATCACTGATGCAATGGCCCATGGTGGGATAGATCCCAGTGGAGCCATCTGACGACCCATCCAAGATGAGAGCCCAGAGTTCTGCAAGAAAGAAAGTGGGTTTCAGTGAGGTTTAGAACCCCTGACTCACAAACAGAGAAGCCATGTTATGGGCAACATTCCTGACAAATAATACTAAAGGTGTCCTGAATTATACAAACACCATCCAGAAAAGTACAATTATCTGTCACAAAAACTAAAAAAAAAAAAAAAAATTCCTCACCAACTAGACATAACACTGAATCCCACTTTTCTGATTCTTCTGGAAGCCAAATACTTGCTCACACACAGGTTACAAAATTATGGTTTTCTTGCTGAACAAGAAAATTTTTCTGAGATCATTGCAAATACTTAATGTCTGGCCCAGAAGCTTCTTAGCAAATTTTTCTAAGGTTTCTGAAGGTTATCATTCTGTATGAATGCTCCATTGTAGGAACATATGCAGCAGTTGATACAAACAGGTCACAAAATCTCTGACTTGATAGTTTTTAATGCTCTGGAGCTTTAATAATCTATGTGTGTTGTATGTAGATGAATGTCGGGGCCAAAGCTTTAACTTGCCCCATGGTTTAAACCTAATTAGCCACAAAACTTAGATGTGAACATGACTTTCCCCAAAATATCGCACTACTGATAGCTAATGCTTGCTTTGATTTAGATGCATCTTAGCAGTGATGAAAGAAACAATATGGTTCACTTCAAGATTCCTTCCTGTTTTGGGAATTTAGCTGTCTTTTCTGTGAATTTATGAACACAGCATCAACCCAGGATTTTCTTTCTGACCACTTCAGTAGTGGTTTTGCTTTAAGTCTGAAGATATATAACCCTCAAACAAACCTCAAATGGTTCTGAAAATCTGACAAGTGCTATCTATACTTCTATGTTTCTAGCCAGGGCTGGGATTGGGATGATTACAGAAATAAGAAAGGATACTTTTCTGGACTGTCCAGACAGCGAAGATCCCAACCTATTCAGGAGTCTCCAAAAGGTAAGATAAATTAAAGAAACTTTAGAGAACAAAAATTCCTGAAGAAGACTCACAAGCATTCACCTCTCCTTGGTTTTTGCTAATTTAGATCTCCCTTCAGATCTGAACTTTGCTACTGGGTTTGGCTTTGGGTGCATGCCCAGTAATACAGGACTAGATAACAAACCAGAGAAGTTTGCCTTTGAGTCAGAGAAAAACAGATGTCAGGACATACTGCGCTTGCATCAGCCAAAGCAAAACCTCCTCCCAGCAGCAGCACAATGCTCCAAGGCATCTTCCTTTGAACCACATTCCAGTCTAGCAGCGGGGCTGGTAAAAATGACTTTTTCTTATCTGAAGTGAGAAATAAAAAGTAGAACATGTTTTAGGAGAGCAAAGACACTTTGTCTTCTGTTCTGTAAGATACCAGTGGGCAGATGCCCAGTACTGAGAAATCTGCACAGAGTGAGGGTAACACACATGGACATGGACTGTGCCCCAGCCCTGCCCAACAAGGGAGGTAGGTGAGATGCTCTATAGGTCTGCATGCAAATCCAGTGCATGTTTCTGCCTTGCTAGCTGAATGGGTTCGATGTTTCACAGTACTACAGTCCCTCCTTTAAATACCTTTTTCAGTCTGTTCAGGGTCAGACATGCTTGGATTCCAGGCTGTGCATTGGGGCTTATGAGCAGGAAGGATAAACAGTAACAGGGCAATAAACATAGCAGGAACAGAATCAGTGATATACCTAATGAAGAAAAGAGAATACAGGTTGGAAAATGGACACCTTTCTCCTAGAAAAGGGCTGCCTTCCAGCATTCTAGTCACTGATCTTTGCCATCCCATTTGGGGCTTGAGCAAAATGGGTCATTAGCTCATGTCTGATGTCTCTCAGACCTGCCATAATTTAAACACAACAATAAAAGAAACAAGCTACAATACACATTAATAAATAGAGTCCTGGATGACAACTCATCCCTCCTGGAGCAGGGTTCTTTCTCTGTGCTGAAGCCAAGATTCAACAGTTGTATCTCAAAGACAGACATCTAAAGAAATGGCCTGAATGATAGTCCCAATATGTATTCTATATTCCTAACATGCCATGCATGAACACAATGCAAAGAAGCCATTCAAAGCACAAAATCAAATTTCCAGTGAGTTCTAAGGTATCGGTTAAAGGTGATATTACCAAATATTCAAATGTCACTGCAACTGATTGGAGCTCATACAAACAAAATACCAAGGTGTATGTCAGTGTGACTGAGACAAACATTACAGAATTTTCTCTTCTTTTAGAAAGTTCAGCTTGCTCCATGTCTCAGTCTCCAACCTTTTCACTGCAGCACAAACTGTCAAATCACAGATGATTGGTAGTGTCATGTACAAGCCATTGGATCAACCCCAGCAAACATGTGAAGTCAGGTAAAGTTGGAATTAATGACCCCACATTCAAAATGGAATGTATAAGCAAGGGAATCTGATTAATAACCAAGTGGGTAAAAGATGGAAAAAAAACTTAAATACTTACTTTTCTCCTCCTTTGAAGAGTATGGAAGCCCAGCCTTTTATAAAGCCTGGGTTTCTGGAAAACCACAAGACCACCAGCAATACAAACAAAAGGAGGACATTCAATTCAGCATAAGACATAGGGCCTAACTTCTTCATTTCTGCCCTCAGCACACTGTATGCAGCTTTTTCTTTGGCAGTTTTCTCTGTCCCAAAGCCCCAGTTTTTTTTTAAGCTTTGAAAAAAATGGAGAAAAAAAATACTGTAAGTATGAATGTATTAGAGGGATCTAACATCCTTATCACTCTGCAGCTGCCCCTCTTGGGGACAGACACAGACCACAACAGAGGCCATAAATAAAGAAATCACAACAGTGCCAAAGTATTTTGTGGGGACACACCAGCTCTCACATAAGAATGTGGTCTATCAAAGGATGGCAATTTGGTGTAACCCAGGATGAAAAAGTCAGGTTTGAATCAATGGCTGCAAACCAGCTATGCCAGCTCTCCTGGGGCTGAAATTCACAGGCGAAAGATTGAAAAATAAAAAGGCAATTCTGTCTGAAGATTAAGAATGTATATGGCTTTTGCCTTAATATACCTCCCATGAACACAAAAGGCTTCCAGACCTCAAAATTTTTGTGAAATGGATCTGCTGTCTGCTACAAAATTAATAACTTGTCACTGCATTTGTTTTAGCTAGATGTCTCAGTAAGCTGATCTGCACTAACTTACTGAGGGGTTTACACAATATCATGTAGATAAATACTCACTTAAGTCCCATGAAGGAGCACTGTAACCAAAGCCAAGCTAGCACCAACATCAGGACCATGTTTGGGAATGCAAATCCAAACCAGGAAGCAAAGTCCACAATATCATTACTGTCAGGGTATAACCTGTAAAGAAATTATTTTCTGTATGAATGTCAAAACATTTAGCAATCTAGTCTCCCTTTAATATGTGCTAGTGACAATTATGCATGTAAATCTAGGACAACCATTACAAGCAATCATAGGTAACCTCCACAGCCTAATTTAAGCCATGGTAGAAGGCAGCCTGATTTCAGAGCAGAACTTAAACGATTGTCAGCTTCCGCTGTGTTTTGATTTGATGCATGTAGGAGCTTATGTTGATACTTTAGGTCTCAGTCAGACAAGTGTGGCTGAAAGATCTCTCATTCATTCTAGACACCTTCCACTTCTAACATTCCTGTTCATTTATCCCAAGAAAGGATATTTTTTTCTTCCTCCCAACTCATTCTAGTAAGAGAGCAAGAAATGTCTTCCCTGAAATTAATACCTATACTTCTGCTGCCTTCAACAGATGAAAAAGTTGCTAGTTGGCTTGAAAGAATGAAGACAGTGTTTTAATAAAGGCAATTTTTTGTTATTCTCTGTGCTTGCCAATAATGATTGGAGGAAAAATATCAATAGCAAACTTCCAGATGGGTGTTAAAACCAAGAGATAATGTAGCAGCTAAGGCTGAGTACTTGCAACACAAGGAAGTAATGTTGGAAAAATTTCTACTGCAGACTGGGTTCTATGTAGATCAGTTCCCAACCTCAGTTTAGCAATGACAGAACAACACAACTGCAGTTTCCACAGCCACAGCATGGAGGAACAGTGTTACACGAGGGGCCAAGTTCCTTCTAGCTCTCTTCAGTGTGCTTATGAGTAGAGTTAATCTACATTCTTCTGGTGCTCTTTACTGCAGTTCCTCTTCTGGATGTGCTGCATTTCAGTTGAAAAAGAGGACACAGAAGAACCAATATCTCATAATCAACCACTTGCATGCTGATTGCCAACAAGTATTTCCAATTTTTTCAGAAGACCTTAATTCCATCCTTAGCTTCCTATTAAAAGATGCTGAAGCAAAAAAAAATTAGGCCCAATACTTCATACACATTTCTCAGTGTCAGTTCCTCAACTAATCGCTTGAAGTTCACAACAGAAATTGTCATCTAAGACTGACTGGTCACACAAACAGTATGACAGTGTAACTAAAAGAAGCAGCAAAAATTACTTACTGATTCATCTGGCCTTTCAGTACCACATTTGGTCCTGTTCCAGTAAGTGTTGCAGTTCCTCCAATGCTGGCAGCATAGCATACACAAAGTGTCATTCCCTTGCATACAAGCTTCCTCCTTTTCTTTTCCTCAGAAGATCTGGGGACATCAGTGACTTGTTCATTGCTTACATCTAGACAGAAAGAAAATTATTTGCCTCGGGTAAAGTTGAAAAGGCAGAGAGCTCAGGATAGGGTCTGTAGGCTTAGTGCTTCCAGTTTGTTGTGCCATTTATTTTAATTAAAAAACCCACAGATATCTCCCTAAACACTTCAGACTAATGTTCATGAGGAGCAGAAGAAAGAGGCTGACAGACTCGGTTTACATGATCCAAGGATGCTGTTGCCCACATCAATGCCACTCCTCTTCAGTAATGTCTTGTTTCACAGAGAGGCTTACCACCAGCCAAATATTGTAGTCACTGAAACCATTCCAATTCCACAGTGAGAACCCAACCAGCTTTAACAGATGTGAATACAGGCAAGGAAAAAAAAAAAAAAACCTTTGAAACCCAAATCCTTGCTTGGCATTATGTCAATTTACAATAACCACGAAACTTTACTGCTGTGTCCATTGTTCTCTGAGGTTAACACTCTAATCTTGGAGTCTGACTGGACTAATGAAGCAGGACAAAGAATTTATGGCAATTGCAACCAACTCAACAATATCAAAGGGTATTTTTTTGCACACTCTTATTATCTTCACTACACTTGGAATCTGATCATCATATTTAATAATATAGCCCTGTGTAACAGCACAGCAGAGCACTGAAATGAGAGAGTCTGAGTTTGTGCACATATTTAAAATGAAGTGAAACCTATTGTAGAACCACATCAGTGGCAGAGGACCTTGAGGAATCAAGCATCTGGGTAAGATCACACACAAGAACAGATTGTCTACTGTGAGTCAAATTACACCAGTTCCTCTCTTCCATGTAGCTTTTAAAGTAGTCCTCTTTCTTCTCCCCACCTCCACATACTATCTGGTCAATAAAGAGATATTTATTACCCTATAACCAAAATACATTGTGTTTACATAATTTTTTCAAATAGTCCTACATGGCCTAGAAGCTGAATCCCCACTGATAATCACAAGATTTAGAAAGTGGGATGGTGAGGGTTTGGATGGTTATTTCCCACAGGATATGCTCTTCACTTTCCTAAACAGGCGGTTAAGTCTAGGGAAACTGGGAGGATGACTCCAGCTGGAAGGAAAGGACATAAAAACCTGTCTGGGTTCTAGCATTAGCATACAAAATGGCAGCCATCAAAATTGAAAGCTATTTTGTAAAACCTAAATGTCATATATTAACAGGATTTCAGTCAGGTTACCATCCTCTTTCCTTGGAAAGGTTACACAGCACCTAGGGTGGGGAGCTGAGTATAGCAAGTTCAGTAGCATGAGTTTATTGGTGAGCAGGCCCTTACCAGGCACTGCAGTGGATTCTGATGTGTTCTTTTCCTCCAGCTCAATCACTGTATTTGTTTGCCCAGTTGCTTGTTCCGCCATGGTCACATCATGCTCTGTGCTGTCCAGTTGATCCAGGACAGCCTGGACAATGGGAACCATCATGGCCGTGGTGGCTGTGTTGCTTATCCACATTGACAGGAAGGCAGTGACTATCATAAATCCCAGCATCAGGCTGAAAGGAGAGAAAGACACAGAGGAGAGAGGAAGAAAGAGAACAGATGCTGCTAGGCTTTGTAGTCACTATAATTTGGAGAGCAAAGCCCAGGCAGGGATGTGTGCAGCCACTAGTACAGAGCAGGGACAGACTCCCTTCTAGGAAAGCTCTGCCACGTTCACTGAAGGAATCCCGGGGCACAATTAAGTCTGTCATAATTTTGTCCCCAATAGCAAGCCTTTAAAATTTAGTCAGATGCTAGTTTTGGATAAAGTACAAATAAACTGCTCCTGCTGCTAGACTTCATTTCTGGACACTCTGTGCAAGTACAGCTAAATTGGGTCTTGAAGGATCCTTTCTCTGCTGACTGTTAAATCATCCCTAGGCTTTGCTAAACTAACAAGAAAAAAGAAAAAACAGAAGAAAAAAGAAAAAAACCAATGTAATACTCTTACAGTGCAGGTTTCACCCCAAGAATCAGAAGGACCCTCAGTGCAATCCTTTTGTGAAGATTCCACTGCTCAACAGAAATTGCAACAATCAGCCCTCCAAAGAAGAGCATGTTTGTGCTATTTAGGTACTGCAAGCACACCTGTAAGACAGAGAAGGTAAGTCAGGCCAAAATACTTGCTTCACTAGTACAATTTGCCTACCACCCTCTCAAATCCATGGACTGGACCAGACCCCAGCCAACACTGGAACACGAGGCAGCTGCTGCCTGTGAGCTCCCTGCAGTTTCCTGAACCCTTGATCTCCTGTCTAACCGCTGACTTGCCTGTGCAGGAGCTCTTTGTGCATCATTGCGCAAAATTACACCAGTTTCCTAAAACGCAGCTGGGGGTTCAAAGTATGGGAGGTGCTGGAAATATTGAGCTCCAAAAGGGCTTTCTCAGTACCATCAGCAACCTGTCTTTACCAGCTTGTTGGGCAGTAGTGAACCTGGGCTACAGAACCTGAACACAGCCTGTGCCTTGTGCCTCCATCACAGACAGCCCAGGCAGAGATCTGCGAGGACACAGCACACCTGCCAGCACCATGCCAGCTCTCCTCTCACAAGTTTGTCCCATGCATTTTGAGATCTCCCAGAAGACTGTCAGCTCTACTTTCTCTTTCTCTTTGTGGCTGGGAACACAAAAACTGCTGGCACTAGTGGGATGCTCTCCAGCAGGATCCATGTCCAAAACAGACCCTCCCCTCTACCACCTCAAGCCCCACAGTGTTAACAGTCTGGACAAATGTGTATGTAGTTCAGCATCTTCCCATATAAGAACCCCGAACACTAGTAGAGACTTGCTGGCTAAATATTGATGAGGGATCAGAGCACTGGATTTCTCTGTATTAGACCTGGACTGCACAAGTTCCTTACTTTTTTAGAGGTCTGAACTCCAAGCAGAGGGAAAAATACCACTGGCATGAGAGCAGTGACAGCCAGGGGGATCACTTCAGTGCACCAGTACACAGCCATGATAATGATGATATATCCACATCTGGCCTCCTGCAACATAACGGAAGACACATTTAAGCATTAGAAACTGTTTTTAAAGATAAGAAACACATTGGTAGCTCTTGCTAAGGGGATTCCCTAGTTTAGAATTGGTGTAACCTGTCTTTTTGGGCTGTTGATCAGGCATTTCTGTATCCCAGCCTTCTGTGGTATGTACTCTAAAAATTGTCAGGAGAAGCAGGCATTCATTAGCTAACAGTGAATGGTTTGAAAGCTGAAGTTGGTGTTCTGTAGTTCACTATTTGCTCCTATTTAGGGAATGTGTTTATGGGATTTTAATACAGCAAATGTGACTTTATTGCTAAAATAAATGGTGTCACAGTGACACTTAAAAACTGACATCAGGTGATATTAGTAAGTAGGGCTGTGTTTTCATTAATTTTGTTGAGAAGTTTAAGATCCAGAAAACACCTTTTGTAAGTAATGTGAAAATTTTTCCCTCAAGTTTCCAGATTAATTACAGCACAAGCGTTGAAAAGACAAATTCTTCAGAGACTAGAAGATAACAGGTAGATCCTGTTGAAGTCTCTTCCCTTTATAAATATAAACTGAGCTCATGATACAATTAATGCTGTACTGCAGTAACACAGTGGTAGAACTGACTGTGGTTAATCTGTTGCTAGTATGAAAGACAGATAAACAACTCTAAGTAAATAAAATTCAAAACGCTGGTTTTAGAGAGTAGAGAGTAAATAATTTATGTGAAGTTCAAAAATACAGCCATGCTTATAATTTAACTCCAGCAACTGTGGCCAATTCAAACAACAAAAGATTCTGAATTAAATATATATTTGTATTTATACCTATATATATCTGTGATTTACGGAAACAGTTACAGACTGTCTCTTTGGTGTTTCTGTGTAGTTGACACAAAACATAGTGATCTGCCTCCTGGCTGAGAGATGAAAAAGCAGTCACTGACAGAAATATTGCCTTCCCATTGTGAAATATTGTAATTTCTTGGGTTACACTAATGACACAATATGCCTACAAATAATGGCAAACTGAAGATATGCTTAATTTTTTTGGAAATTATCTTTCCTAGTTTTGATCTAAGTAGAGCTTAACAGCCAGGAATTCCTCATTATATAAAGCACCACCATTCAACTGAAAGGCCAAGCTGGTACAACTTAGGTTAACAAGAAGGGTTGGCAATTTGGTTTACAAACATGGATAAAATTTTCCCATAGTTTAAAACAGACTGAGTGATACAAGTTGCTCAGAAGAAAGGCTGGTTTTGGCATTAGAATAGCCTCCAAAGCTCTAGTAGGCTAAAATACTGCAAACTGAGCTTTCACACTTAGTCAAGAAGGCTACAAGGCATTAAAGCCCTTGTTCCCTGGGTTATTCCAATTTTATGCTGGTCCACTGAACGCAAAGGAGTTGTGCCGTTGTCATCCCCGGAGTAAAATGGATGAATTGGAGGGCATGGCATTTGACATCCTGACCAATTCACACAACACAACGCTGACTGCATCAGGATGGAGAATGTCACCAAGAACAGGCTGGGAGTACCAGACCCTCAGCAGAGAGCTGGGGGACGCACTCCTGCCCTTCAGCCGACTCCAACCGCTGCGACATAATGCAGGACAATCCCAATGCCGGCCAGCTACGCATGGGTTTCTCTTGGCCCAGAATGAATTGCATCTATTTGGCACGGTGGGTTGGGTGCCACCGGGAGCAGGCCCGGAGCCGGGCGGAGTGGGGTCACCCGGGGGACGGCAGGCCCGGAGCCGGGCTCTGTTCCCGCAGGGGCCCCGCAGGCGCTTACCTTGGTGGGCACAGCGAACGGCAGCGGCAGCAGCAGCAGCGGCGTGAGCAAGAGGATGGCGACGGAGCGGTACCTCAGCAGGGGCTGCAGGCACGTCGGGGCCATGCTCTGTGGGGGGACACGGTCAGGCGCGAGCGCGAGCGGCGCCCGCCGCCGCCGCCGCTTTAAGTACGGGGCGGGAGGGACGGGAGGGACCCGGCCGGGGGCGACACGTCCCGCCCGCCCCGCCGGGGGCCGCCCCGGGCAGCGGCGCGGCCGAGGACCGGCAGCGAACGAGCCTCCCGGAGCGGCCCGGCCCCGCTCCGACCCGCCCTGCCTGCCGGGCCCGGCCGCCGGTGCCGTTCCCCTCCCTCACGGCCACGTCCGTGCCGAGGAAAGCGGCTCAGTGGCTGTGTACCAGCTACCGGCCCCGTCGGGAGAGTGCTGTAAGAACGCTCTCCCTGCTCCCAGAGCGGGCAGGGACCGGGGCAGTCCTTTCGGGAGCTGCGTCTTCGGAGCTGCTGCTGACGCCGAGGGGGGATCGTCCCTCGCTCATTCACACCGTGGTGGGGAAGGACTGAGCTCCTTCAGGGAAACGGAGAGTTAAAACCACAGTGGGGATCTCCCCAAAACAAAGGTCATGTGTGCATGTGCAGGCATGCATGGCTGTGTTTGGCTATTATTTTGAGAGGCATTGTGCCTCTGGTTCTGGGTTAAAAATAACCCAGGAAGGTTAACTTGAAAGGTTATTTTTGACGTTGTTGACTTCAGTGACTGTCTACAGCGCAGCCTTGGAATCCAAAGGGACAGCCCTACTGATGGACTGAGTGGGCAGAAAGGGACAACTAGACAGAGGACAAACAAATTGTTGATATTTTATGTTTTGCTTTTGGGATGGCAACAGCCACCTGAAATTGAAGTCAGCATAAATCATACCTCAACAATTTGATTCTGCAGTCTCTTACTACAGTCTTAGCAAGCAGTTACTCACAGAAATAAAGAATTTCAAATTCCACAGCAAGTAATGAGGGAGCTCTGACTACAGCTTGCACTCTTTGTCCTCTTCTGACCAGAGGAACTTGAGTGACAGAAGTGCAAAACAAGACACTCCAATGTTACTTTTTATTTATAAAAGCAGTGAATGCCCACTAAGAAAAAAAGTAGCCAACCGGATCTGGACAGATTCCAAATCTTCAAACCTTTCGGAGCATTCCCTCTGGGTAACTTACCAACACAGAGGAAACACACTTCACACCAGCGCAAAGTCTAGCAGAAAGTGGGGAATTGGCCAAAACTTGAATTCCTGTGGCCTGTCTCCAATGAAAAAATGGTTCCTAGTCAAAAAGAAGAAAAAAAGACTAGAAGCACTTAAATAAGAAAATGCAAATAGTTCACTCTAAAGGAGTTGTTCTAAGATTAACTCTGATAGACCAGTGCAAATATGATTTATTGTTTTCTTGTTTCAATAAGATGCAGTGAAGAAAAAAGAAAATAAAGAAAAAGACAAAAAATGTGTTGATACCTTTAGATGGACTAATCTTGTGAAAGGAGACTTGCTTGCTGTACCTGGGGATGAGACATGGGACTCCATGGGCAATTAAATTAGCTAACTTATGCCTCAGTCCCTTTTTTTGTCAATACAGAAAAGGGAATCAATATTCCCTTATTGTGCAGAATTATTGCAAACTGGCCTTCATATCATTTGATGATGAGCTTCCTTTTCACTGTGGCTAGGAGAGGACAGACAAAGTTTTGGCTGCTTGCTTTACAGAACTGGTCTGACAGCTGGGTAGAAGAGAGCTGCAGAGAGCCTAAGCACTTGCAAAACATCCAGAAGGAGTTTTAGGTGATCCAAAGGGCACTCAAAGAAAACCTCCCACGGCCTGAAATTAACCTCATGCTAAATGAGCACCAACTGCACACCCTCAAGAAAAAGGAATCCTTTCCTCTAGTCAGTATGGCTCTGAACATAGTAGAGGGCAATAGCTTTAAACAGTGCTTTAGAAGCAGTGGGTAAAACTAGATGGTTGCAGACATCATTTAGAAGCAGGAGACTGTAGCATCCTTAGATATCCTAATGCTGAATAATGTGCTCTTCTTGTTCTTCTGGATAGTAAGTTTCAAATCAGTTTTCAAAGGAACTCAAATTTTTGAGTTACAAAGAGGCTAAGGCATGCGTGGTGTTGTGAGGTGGAACCAGGAGCTGAATCAGGTCTCTTGTACTTGAAATCCCTTTTCCTGGTTGCAAGATAGCATTTCTCCCATCTGGTGTTCTGCTGCCCTAATAAACCCAGGTATTTTGAAGCATGTCAAGAATCAAGGGTCTGAGTAACGGAGCCAAGCCCATCTTGTGGCTCACTGCCACCAGCCTTCCCTGGCCTTTGCAACGTTTCTCAGCTGGTGGCTCTGGGGTTCATTTGATTTAACTTGACAAAGAAAGCAGAACATTTTTCTGCTGTTTATGAGCTGAATAGGTTCAATGAAGTGTTCAGTGAGCACTAGAGCCAGCTCAAGGGACTGGGCTAGTTATGGCTGGGTAAGGAACAGCTGTGGCAGGAACAGCCGCACCGTTCAAGACAGTAAATGCCTAGATGACCTTGACAGCATTGTCAAACCACATGCAGACTCTTGCAATCTTTTATACTTCAGATACCAGAGTCAATGCTGTGAACCATGGCCAAGAGTTGCAGTCAGAAGTGGGACACTGCTGAAGACTAGTAAAGAAAGGTTGACCTGTATTATTTTGTAGAGAAAGGGACTGAAAAACAATCCCACTTAGAAAGTAGTATTTCCAGGGTCAGTGCAGGTAGAAAAATTGTAAAACACTGATTTTTTTATAGTTTAGTTTGTTCCTGAGAAGCTGCTTTTCTGATATATTTCACTCTCTACAAGGCATCATCCCAGTTACTCCAGTTATTGAAGGATAGCAATGGTCTGTAAAAAGGTGGCTTTACAGGCAGAAGCTGGTTCATTTAATTACAGATAGACATATTTTCTGCCTCTAATTCAAATGCTGCCCAAGCACACAAGTACAGTTTGCTTGTTCTAAACAGTCCATTTGACCTAGATAACTGCTACTCTCTCTTGAGACAAAAACTCCTCACATTCTTTTTAAAGATTTTTCATGTTGCAAACTCCATGCAACAGCCAGAGGTACAAAAGTTTTAACAAAATAAAATTAAACAAGGACTTTAAGTCATATCATACTTGACACTGAGAAACAAAAATTAAAACAACTGACCCTGAGATATTCCAGGATGTAGCAGAAAAATAATGTTTTCTACTTGGGCTTTTGAAAATCACATTTAAAAAATAACTAGCTCAGAACTTACCTCTATGTGATTCTTGCCTTCAAAAGATGCCTAGAAGAGGTGTCGTATGGTAATGTTATGCACTGGAAGGTTTACACAGAATTTAAATAGAAAGAGTTATTACCAGCATTCAGAGAAAACCACTCCTTCATTGCTCTCCATTTTCCCTCCAGTCGGTCCTTCCCAGTTACTGACAGTTCACTGTCCTGCTTCAGGAATAGCTTTCAACTAAGTTCCCAGTGGAGCATCTGATATTTTTCCAGGAAAAGCTCTCAAGACTCTGAATGAACAGTCCTTTCGGCCCAATCCCTGTGCCCAACAACTTCCTACATAAAAGCCCTCATTATGAATTTTGAGTCAGCGGGGTTTTCCCAGTCAGTATATGTTGCTGATCAGTCTTTCTTGACCTAGAATTGGTGTTTCCCATATAGCTTGTGCCCTAAAGCCCATTCAAATGCTGTGCAGGCTAATGACTACAAAAGAAAAAAGATCCAAAAGAAAATCACATTAAAAATTTGATTCAGAATTGGCAGCTCTGTAACCTCTCCCTTAGCTGCCATCTCATTAACATATTTGTTCAAAAGCCTTTTCTCTGCTTCATTACATAATTTGTGTTACAAAATCCAGATAAAGATTCATTATTCCCAGATCTAAATAATGGCTTACTGCGCTTCCTTTTTCTTCTCCTTTCATTTTTCCCAGAGAAAAATGGGGGACAGAAAGGGCTTGTTTAGATGGGAAATGAACCACACCAATGTCTGAGAAACATCTGTGGCAGCTGTTGTCTATGACATTATGATTCATTGTGCAAAGACTGGTGAATGATTCTTTCTGATACTCCTGCAAAGTGAAAGAATTAATATTAGTGCCCCTACTTGACAGACTAAGAAGGTTAGTTAATATTTTCTGCATCTCCTGTATCCCATTGTTCCACAGTGGGTAGGGTCTGTCACATCAGAGACACCACTTGCATTGTAGAGCTATAAGGGATCAGTTGTACCAACAGGTACACAAATGCTTGACCTTCCTTCAGAAAGTCTTGAAATTTCTTGGCATTGAAAACATGAAGTTCTGTTCATTTTTCTCTCTAATTTATATATCTTCTGAAGTTCCCTGTTTAAAAATGTACTGTTGAGGTCCAGGAGAAGGCAGGACGTGCTCTTCCTGAGGCCTCTGTGCTGTCGGTCCATCCCAATCACAGCAAAGTATCCCCAGGGAGGAAAGGCAGTGCTGGCTAATGCAGGCTGGAGATTTCACCTGGAACGTACTTGGATACTGGGGAACCAGTGAGGCCTGGGCATCTGCTGGGCACGGCTGAGCAGCCTGTGTGCGCCCGGGGACGAGAGGCTGGGGCCCGACGCAGGGTTTCTCCCGGCCTGAGATGGACGGAAAACACCTCCCACGAGCTGGCAGCTTTTGTCCAAGGGAAGCATCACTGCCCCAGGGAGGCCAAGGTGCATTTGGGGGGCCGAATACTACCATGAGCATCCCTCAAGAGGCGAAGGGGATGGCAGCATGCCCCTACCCTCCTGCTCACCACAAGCCAGCCCTGAGGCCTGGCCATGCCTCCCTCCTCAGGGCGCCACGGGCTCCCTCTGCTCCTGGGCTGCAGCGTGCCTGGGTGCTGGGGACAGATGCCAGCCAGGGGTGGGGTGGAGGAACCCTGCCACCTGCTGAACCAGCTAATTTCAATCAAACTTATATAGGAAAGAAGGAAACTGAGATCCCAGAGTTTCTCTAAGGATTAGCAAATTAATCTGTGTGTGGAACTGCCACTGAAAATCAAACCCCAATACTTGTCTGGCAATGCTGCTGTTTCTCCTTTAAAATTTTTTTT